TATGGTGATTGATCATTGATGAACTATCAATAAACATATGTAGAATAAAAATAATATCTGGTTATGATATTATACAAATTAATTGAAAAGGTATGTCTTAACCAATGGATGGATTTGTCTAAGTACAACGGTATTCAGGGTGGATCTAGCAATTATATATAATGAGTGGTGACTAAATTATTTAATGAAAAAATATAAAATATTATATCTTTTGAGTGGTGACTAAATTATTTAATGAAAAAATATAAAATATTATATCTAAAAGAGCAGATACAAAAACATACATTCACAATCATTCTTTACGAATTTTCATGGCTTGGTATCACTTTACAGTAACATTATTATCAATTTTTAAAGAAGGTTTCCTTCTTGATCATCATTAAACTTCTTGTCGTATCTTCTTTCTGCCAAGTGATATCAGAATTTCTCCCAAATCTATTTTAATTCAAAGTATCTCCTTTTGAGATATTTTCACAAGCACTTCTAGAAATGTCTCTTCATATTTGATATACAAAATAATATTTAAATTTACAATCACTGGAATTTTCTATTTTAACATATCACACTTTAAAGAGTTATAAACACCTAAAAATGGCTTGAATTTGTAATTCTTACACAAGAAGAATATATATACCACTACCTAAAAAAATAAAGAAGAGTAATTTTTACCTCCGCCAAAGTAAATGGAAAGTGATTTTATTATCCTGCAAGTCGACTTTTCGAACAGTTGAACCGAAAATTAACAAACTCTTTGAATCTTTTCTATCTTTCCCCTTTTTTTTTTCTTTCCCTCTGTATTTCATCCGTGTTAGTCTATGTACTCTTTTCTTTTGTTAAAATATTTTGTCAAATGTTTTATTATATTTTATTTATTGGATTCATAATTAGTATTTTATTTTTATTTGACTAATATGTGCTAATACTAGATTTTTTTTTCAATCTGGGCCAAGGCCCACACTGATCATAATAAGGCTACGCCGCCGGTATTCATACAAATATCCTATAATTTGTTTTCATATTAATTTTATTTTTCTGAAATTTGTCTAATCTATATATATATAATTGCTAGCTAATAGCATTTAATAAAACATTTAATAAAAATATTTTCACTTTCCCTCCAAAAGGAGTTACACTTTTTTAATTAATTACTCATTAATCTCACATTTAAGAAGGTTTCTTATAGTTAAATTTAATTAGTTAATGACTAAATTAAAAATATTTATTTTAATTAATCCCACATTTATGTTAAGTACAGTATTATCGTAATGTCTTATCAGTTTTTAAAAAAAATAGTAACTTTTTTCAATAAATTTTATAAAAATTAGTTAAATGTGCTTATATTCATATAAATCAGGAAAAAAAAATCTTAGATATATAAAAAGAACATCGTTGAAATAACTTGAATCCACGAGAAAAAAATTAAACATACGTAAAAAAAATTCTGACTGTGATTAAATATAACAAAAGGGCCTTAATCGGCCTCTTAAAATCACGATGCGGGCGGTTCCAGTCCATTGGAAGCTAACCCTAATGGAAAGCTCATGATACGAGTTTTTAAAAAAAAAAACTCAAAAAAATACATATATTTACAGATCTATTACAGATCTTTAAATTTTTTGTTTATATAAAAAATTAATATTATATTTACTCATTTATATTTAGATGGTATTTTTTTATTAAGAAGCAAGGACAATCTCTATCAATCAATAAGAGTCAAGGACAAACAATATAAAGAAGTGTTTCCTATGCTATGACATGATCAGTAAGAGTCAAAGATAGTCTCTGTCGCACGTCGGCTTACTACTGAAGAGCTCAGCATTTAGTAATGAGCAATTATACGTGACGTTTTTTAGAGTTACGAGTCAGTGGGATTTGAAGATTTTGATTTGAGCTGAGAGAGATTTTGACGATAGAAAAACCACGACGTTGTTTTATAAAGAAGTGTTTAAGAATATTTATATTTTTTTCTTAATTTTTTTCAATGATTTTGATATGATTTTTTACTATTGTTTATAA